AGAGAGAGAGAGAGAGAGAGAGAGAGAGAGAGAGAGAGAGAGAGAGAGAGAGAGAGAGAGAGAGAGAGATGAGAGGGGGCGTGGAGCGATGGCGCGAGGGGCAGGGCGCGGTTTGAGAACAAGCAGACGGGAATTTTCCGTGCAGGCGCGAAACCTCTCAGTGCAGGGATGTTCCATACGGCCCTGGCCGCAATCGTGATTTCTCTTTTTTCTGGCGGAAACGAGTATGCCGACCTAGCTACCGGGTTACAGGTCGGACTGAACATTGTCCGGTCGTGGGCACGTGCGGTCCCAACAACTGTGCAACCTCCCGTACAGTCCTACCCTGCCCCGAGCCCGTCGTTTCTATCTTGTGGGGACAGTATTTTTTGCCGCAAGGCTGGGGCCGTGTACGGGTGGTTTAAACCTTAAACTTTGAAGCTTGAACTCACACTTTTCTTCTTTTCTTTTGCTACTTTCCTCCCTTTTGCTGCTTTATTTCGCCATTAGTCTATGACTCGAGAGCCGAAGGAACTGCACCACATAATGCCAAAAAAACAGCAGGTTGTCGCGCAGAAAGCATGGGCTTGTCACCAGCCTCTCAAGGTTAGGATTGAAACTCAGACAGACCAGAGCACCTTCATACCACTAAAAACCGTCAAGAAAAAAAAAAAAAAAAACATAAGAGTTTGATCCTCGCTCAAGAGTGATCGCTACCGTCTTCAGCCGAATAGAATGCCCGGTCATTATCACTGTGCATGTGGAGTGAGATGAAACGGTCGCCTCAAAAGCAAGAAATGAAATAGACAAAAAGTAAATCGTAAATCAAAACGGTTTCGGGCATCATCAGAAGGGATCGGGGTCATGGTTGGCCCCTTTCCATCCGTGCTATAGGGGCTACATTCAACCCTGCAGGGGTAGGCTCAACCGGGAAGGCTCGACCCTGAGGGGATAGGTAGGCTAGGATCAATCAGGGAGGAAAGCGTCCTCTCATAGGCCCAGCAAGTGGACTTAGATAGATATAGGATATAGGAACGAGGGTAGGTAGTGTGAGGCATGCTGGAGAGAAGAATACATCTTAGTTTTTTTTTTTTTTTTAACAAAGTAAAAAAAAGGGATAGGGGTCAAAACTTCAATCTGATTTGCGCAGACTTACTGAACTGCCCTCCGAATCGTGCCAAACAGTTGGTCATTACACGGCTCACTTTGCCCAAAATACAGCTATAATGACCGGGTGTTCTATTCGTGTGAAGACCGTAGCGATCCCCCTGTTCTTTTCTCACCTTCAGTGCTGCCTCCGTAGGCATCCCAGATGCCACATACTTGCCCTTCTTGAACATCAACCCTGCATCGTTGCAGAGTGCACAGACCTGTGCTATTGTTTCCAGATTCTCATTGAGTTTACTTGGAAGGCTAGACACTCCCCCATCGCGCGGATTGTACGAAGTGCCCATGACTTCGTAATCCCTCAGCTCCCCCTCATCGACTCCGACTCCCACAAACTGGATAACTGACATCTGGTTCGTTGTCAGAGTTCCCGTCTTGTCGGAGCAAATCACAGTCGTACATCCTAGCGTCTCAACCGACTGTATCTTGCGAACAATTGCATTCTCCTGAGCCATTCGACGTGTACCCAGTGCCAGGCACGTCGTGATAACAGCTGGAAGGCCTTCCGGAATTGCAGCGACTGCCAGAGCTACAGCAACCTGAAAATGGCCACAATCAGATCACATCGATTAACACCACGAGCTCTCAGCATTCATTCGTCCTTCATGTGTTGTTCACCCTCATTCAACCTTCTTCCCGTTCACAATCAACATACTAAGGATGAAGCAACACGAGATAAACGCAGTAGAAAAGGACAAAAAGAAAACACACACACACACACACACACACACACACACACAGAGAGAGAGAGAGAGAGAGAGAGAGAGAGAGAGAGAGAGAGAGAGAGAGAGAGAGAGAGAGAGAGAGAGAGAGAGAGAGAGAGAGGGAAGGCAGGACTGCAAACTCCATACCGAAAAGGAAGTCTACAATTGGAACCTCACAGAAGATCCATGCTGCTTCTGAGAGAGACTTCATCCTGATGTGCAGTGGCTTGCTGTCACGAGAAGAGAGTGTTGGATGCTGAGAGTAGGTGGAGAACCAGGAGAAAGGTAAAGTTCAGATAAGAGTCAGTTCAAGTGAACTGCCTAGCTCAGTTGGTAGAGCACACAAGTGGCATTCAGGAGGTCGTGGGTTCGATTCCCAACGTCGTCCGTTCAATTCCCCATGGCGCCCTGCGGCGCGCTTTCGGCTCACCAGCTCCGATAGTTGGCTTGTCCCCCCTGGCTGGTCTTGGCAGGACTCTGAGATCCAGCCACCCCTCCCTAGGGGTTAAGGAGCCTGGGTACTGCTCCCCACACAGAGTAGACTGGATAGATATAGGTGGGTTCCTTTACTAGCAGTTCCCCTCCGGTGCATTGGTATGGAGTTCTGTCAGGCTAGATATGTGGGGGAAGATAGCACGAGGGGTATGTAGGCAGTCAGGGTGATAAACAATAAAAAAAAAAAAAAAAAAAAAAAAGTGACCTGCCTTCATTATTAGGGAGCCTGAGGTCAGGATACATGGATTGGGAGAAGATAGGACGGTTAAGAGCATACTCGCGTCAGGACCTTTCCACGAGAATGCGGTTGTCTTTCCTGCCATATACATCCTATGAAGTCCAAGTGAGAGCATGGCCTTAGTCGGAGTCGTTTAAATCAGATAGTCACATGAAAAGATGCAAGTCATGCAATCGGTAGAGTACAACGGCGGCCTGTGCTTCCAGAGACCCGTTAAAATTGAAATGATACAGAGAAGATTAGCATGGGCCCTGCACGAGGATGACACGCATAAATTTGACAAACGGTCCAAAAAAGCAAAAAGGAAAAAAAAAGAAAAAAGGGTGTGTAGTACTGTGTACAACAAACAGTCTGTACCTGCCTTGTACCTGAATGGGACGGACACACTTAATTGTTAACAAATTCATAGCAATTCCAGATCATAAGTTCTAGATCTGTTTATTAACACAATTCCAGATTCTGTTGACGCTCACTGGTTCACAACTTCACAAATGTAACTGTGTTAATAAACAGATCAAAAGTCCTGCATCCAGCCAGGATTTGAACTCGCGATCTGTTTATGAACAGACTATCACTATTGCATCCATCAGGATCTTTTTTTTTTCAGCTGGCAATCTGTTTTGCACAAGCTAGATGCATCTACCATTCAGCCAAAGGGAAGGTAAAGGTTGTTATACAACAGCCTCCCCCCAAAAAAAACTGATAAGCGAACCTAGGACGAAGCGCTACAGATAACTGGCGCGGGCGGAGCGTGTCCGGGGGCGCTGCGCCCCGCCGTTACGACCTCACCGACGAGAGATGGAGTAGCAGGCAGACGTGGCACGACTATGCCAGGTGTGGTTGAGCGGTAACGCGCGGCGATGTTGGGCACCGCTGGGCATAGAGGGCGGCTATGATAGGTGCTCAACGATGCAGAGAGTCAGCGCTGTTACTGCTGCTGTAGGATGTACTCTCTATCTCCTAACACTTGAAAGCACTTGTAGTACCATCTCACTGTCTGGTGCCTCTCACGGGGATGCTGCGGGTTAAGGCTCTCTGCTGGGTCTTGCATCGGGAGGAATCATTTGTGCTCCTCTTCTTGCACAATTTGGTGGAGGAGGTCGGCCAGGAGCAAGAGGGAGAGGAGCGCTGTGTGTCCCACGAGATGGGAGGAGGAGTGGAGGGGGATAACCCGGATAAGGAGTGGAGTGTTTGAGACTGTCTTCGTCTTCGCAACATACAAGCAGCAGTATCAAGCAACGGGGAGAGGTCGTTTATCTGCAGCAACGGGCTACAACGACAGGCATCATCATCAGGGAGTTATTCGTCATCCTCATCGTCTTTATCAGCATCAACAGGGTAGGTTTCAACTTTAACACCATGTTTAGGGGGGCTGCGCGACACTCATAGTTAAAATTTCATCATCGGCGCTGCTCACCCCTTTTAGTATTATCACCATCATCATCATCATCATCCGGTCATCAGCACTAGCAGCATCTAGAGTTAGCGCAGGGCGATGGGCGCGATCATCATCATAGTCATTATCATCTTAATCATCACTACCATTATCATCATCATCTCATCAGCATCATCATCATTACCAATATCTTAATTATCATCATCATCAATATCACTATCAGATTCATCATCATTGACATCATTTAGTTTCACTTTAACATCATCTGATCTGAATCGTTAGCATATTTGCAGGAATCATCACAATAATTTCGTAATTTTGTTCCTTGACTATACTCATTAATAAATCCTGAGGTCTTTTTGAATTTCACTATCATAGCTTAAATCCTGATAGTTTTTCCGATGATCACTTTCTGCTATCTAAATTGGTGGGAGTAGTCATCTGTTCATTGGGCGCAAGGGGAAGGGGAAGAATTGTAAGAATCTTTATGCTGCCCTGCGCCCTTTTCAACGGGTCCTTTTTAGAAAATTCCGAGTTTATTCCTGGGCTGGATCGATTATTTTAGAAGGGCAGAACTGGGAGAGTGGGGTGGATAGGGAGCGCTATCCTGCAGGGGATTCACAAGGAGGGGGGTGGATAGGGAGCGCTATCCTGAGGGTAGAAGCGGAGTTGGGGGTTTGTCCTGTTTCTGGGGCTGGGGTGGTGCGAGGGGTCAACATCGTCCTCAGTGGAGGCAGAAACGGGCAAGGGGCGGCGAGGGCATGTTTTAGGAGGGAACTGCGTGTCCTCGGGGACAGGGGTGGAGGGGGTTGGTCCTATATTGAGGCCGAGGGAGAGCGGGATGCTCGCCTCGGCGGGGTCAGTGTAGGGCTGAGGGGGTAGGGGGAGGGAGGGGTGATGTTCTTTTGAAGATTTATAATCTTCCAGTCCAGTAATTCCGTTCACCTCTCGAGGAGGTTGCGGGAATAGGTGATATCTGGCATGCCATCTTTGATTCTGCGTAGGGTGGTCGAAAACTCTGTGGCCCTTGAAGACCGATGCTGGAGCAACGATGGCCGGCGCCGGAGCCACAGGTGGCGCAACTCTGTGACCTAGCTTAGTGGGGGCGTGAGGCCTGGTAGAGATATCTGGGGGGCTGTTTGCGGTGGCAGTCTCAGTGGTCATCGGGGGTCGTAACTGAAGCAATGCTGGCCGGTGCTGGAGCAAGGTGGTGCAACTCTGTAACCCAGCCTGATGGGAGCATGAGGCCTGGAAGAGCTTCGGTTCGTGCTGAAAACGSCCAYGCTGGCGGTGGTCGAAGGTGGATTGAATAGGTTTCACCTATCTGATTCGTGGTTGGGAGGCTTGTTGACACACAATTTCTGAATGTTTCTGAGTTTTCCTTTTCTTCAATTGTTTTAGCCGACGCCAGGTAATGGCCCCAGTAGCTCATTCTTGTATTCTGATAAGGGACGCTGGGCACGGTTCCCAGCCGTGTTGCTCCCCACGAATAGATTGGAGCATCGTCTCATTAAAAAAAAAAAAAAAAAAAAAAAAAAAAAAAAAAGGATGAAGCGCTACAACCCTCCCTCCATAACCCGGTGAGTGAAACTATGAGACAAAGGGTTAAAAGTTAGAGAACCCTCCTCAGAGAAACTTGTGAGCGACGAATCTGAGACAAAGGGTAAGTAGATGATCAGTAACTGGTCATATTCGGAGGGAACTGCTCACCTTGAAATAGTAGGTTGCCTGTCCAATGTTAACCTGAAAATTATTCGGCATCCCGTTATCGGCAATCTCCCAAGACACAAAGTACTTGTAGTTCATCAGCCAGACAAGTACACAAACGGCGCCAACGACCGTCGTCAACTGGCTTGCAAACTCGTCGAGTTTCCTCGAAAGCGGGGTGTCGTAATCCACTTCCGATGCCTGCTTCAACTGGCTCTGGATCTTTCCAATCTCCGTCCGCATTCCCGTGTCATTGACAACACAAAAACAGTTCCCATTGGAAACAGTTGTACCGGCAAATGCCATGCAATCTTTCGACTGGATAGCAATGTCGGGCTCTTCGTCCGTCAACTCGCGGCTAAGTGGAACCTCCACCTTCTCGACACCTTTCAGCACAGGCTCGCTCTCACCTGTCAAACTGGCTTGCTCCAACCGGACAGACATCGACTGCAGCTTAACGATTCTCATGTCCGCTGGGACCTTGTCGCCAACACGAAGTTCGACGACATCCCCCGGAACAAGCTCTCTCGCAGGAAGATCAGGAATCTCTTTGCCTTCCCTGAAAACCCTCGCAGTCTCTGGTTGCATGTCTTTCAATGCCTGCAGAGTGCTCTCTGCCCTGCTCTCCTGCCACACACCTTCACCCACCACAACGCCCATCACAATGTCAGAGGCATCCCCAAAGATCCCTGATTGGATCCATCCTTGTATCTCATCATCCGTTTTCACAAAACGCACTCGCAGACACTGCATTACTAGTAGAAACAAAGAAGAACAGAGTACACCCCCCCCCCCAGATGCCCAAGCTGTCATTCGTCCGAATCAGAGCTCGGACATGTGGGGGATGCCACAGTCAATCCTATGGGGAGAGAGTGAAGCAAGGGGGCATCAGACCTAGTCAATTTCAAAGATTAGGGAACACATGTGTGACACACCCAGAAGACAATTCAGGCAGGGAACCAACTCGCGCAACAGTACAGAGGATAGTTCAATAAAAGAGTCCCTCCCTGCTCCTGAATCATGCACCGACAAAGAGAGGTGGGAGGAGAAGAAGAAACGGAAACGAGGAAGAAGAAGAGGGAGTCCAGATGCGGCATTGCCACTGGAATAACCCCCCCCCCCCCCCCCCCACACACACACACAAAGAGAGGTGGGAGAAGGAGAAGCAAAGGAAACAAGAAAGAAGGAGAGGGAGCATAGTGCCATCTGTCAAAGGGAGAGTGTGGATCGAAAGCAGGAAATAACTCACCGATGACTGCATTGAGCGCCACAATCAGTAGAATGACAAGCGGCTCAGTGAAAGCGCTGATTCCCATCTCTCCGGTTTCACGTCCCTCCAGGTAAGCCAGGACAAATGAAACGAATGCCGCTGCGATAAGGACTTTCACTAGTGCATCGTCAAACTGAGCAAGCACTAGTTTCCAGAACGGGGTTCCAGGCTCTTTCTCGAGCTCGTTGAGACCGTACACGTGTCTCCTCTGCTCTACCGCCTCTTCAGAAAGGCCATCCCGAAGATCCGTTATTCCGTGGTGGTCGAGGACTTCTTCCACCGTTCGCGACCATGATGGATACGGTCTACCGTCATCGAATGGTTCAGACGGCAGCATCTTCAACGGTGCCTTCAATGTAGCATTCTGCATCATCTTCCAAAGCACACAGGAAGAAACCGAGTTAGACGACGGCAGCTCAACAGTACAATGGCTTTTCCAGCTTGAATATATATATATCGTCACAAACAGAACTGCCCGGTAAACCGTAGGCAGAGAGAGAGAAGAGGACAACAAACGAGGGGCGGTGACAAACTGTTTCGTCGGAGTTTCACCGACTCATCTAATATATATATATATCGTCAAATAGAACTGCCCGGTAAACCGTAGGCAGAGAGGGAGAAGAGGACAACAAACGAGGGGCTGTGACAAACTGTTTCGTCGGAGTTTCACCGACTCATCAGGAGGCTGAACCCTCAACAGTCTGTAGAATCCCCTCACTGATTACACTGTAAGTGATAATCCACCTTAACCAAAATCAAAGTAGACTATCACTCACCCACACCAGATGGAAAACTCTACAGACTGTCGGTTCACACCCCATCACAAGCCAGCAAAACATCCACGAAACAAAGAAAGGTCTGTCACAGCCAAAAAATACACTCCAGACACGCCGCTGGCACTAGAGGCACAGCATGGCCGCCTAGTAACGGCCCCGACCACTGCCGCTCGACCTGACCGGAAAAAACCGTAGCAGGAAGCTAGCGAAGTCGTAGTACATATCGTCACAAACAGAACTGCCCGGTAAAACCGTAGGCAGAGAGAGAGAAGAGGACAACAAACGAGGGGCTTTGACAAACTGTTTCGTCGGAGTTTCACCGACTCATCAGGAGGCTGAACCCTCAACAGTCTGCAGAATCCCCTCACTGATTACACTGTAAATGATAATCTACCTTAACCAAAATCAAAGTATATATATATATCGTCACAAACAGAACTGCCCGGTAAAACCGTAGGCAGAGAGCTGTCTCTTATACACATCTAGATGTGTATAAGAGACAGGAGTTTCACCGACTCATCAGGAGGCTGAACCCTCAACAGTCTGCAGAATCCCCTCACTGATTACACTGTAAATGATAATCTACCTTAACCAAAATCAAAGTATATATATATATCGTCACAAACAGAACTGCCCGGTAAAACCGTAGGCAGAGAGAGAGAAGAGGACAACAAACGAGGGGCTTTGACAAACTGTTTCGTCGGAGTTTCACCGACTCATCAGGAGGCTGAACCCTCAACAGTCTGYAGAATCCCCTCACTGATTACACTGTAAGTGATAATCCACCTTAAGATGGAAAACTCTACAGACTGTCGGTTCACACCACATCACAAGCCAGCAAAACATCCACGAAACAAAGAAAGGTCTGTCACAGCCAAAAAATACACTCCAGACTATATATATATATATATATCGACACCTGTATTTTGACAGTGCATCTGGACACCTGTATTTTGACAGTGCATCTGGACACCTGTATTATGACAGCCTGCATGCCTATCCGGATAATCTATGGATCCTAACTATCTGTGATTTACTTTGTCAAATTGTCCTTCGTTTTTTCTTTTCCGTCCTCCTTTTGTCCTTGTAATAGGGTCTTCTGATTTATCAAGTTTTATGTTTTTCACTTGCGGCAGAAAAGGGAGGAATCAACCAATATTTCATTTGTTAGTATTCCATTTTAGAAAATCCGACCACCCAACTGCTGCTCAATGAAGGCAGCAATATTTCAATACCTGTAAACATCGCTTGTACCGTCGTTCAGAACCCCGACAAAGGGAGAGAAATCTTGGGCTATATACAAATAGGTAGGTGTATAGTAACTCCAGAGTCTATACCATTTTGAAAAGCCAGCAGAGTGCACAAAGCGTCCACACACTCAATGCCAAAAACAAGCTGCAGACAGAGTACTGCAACATTTACCACCTCTTTTCTTTTATTGTTTTTTTAATCACCACTCTCGGAGACTCCTTGCACGTGAGAGGCACAGTGGAGGTGGAGTTCAAAGAAGAATGAGAAATTAAATGGTTTCAATCGGCCCTTGTTTTTTCTTTTTGTTTTCATTTTTATTTTTATTTTTGCATGTTATCACTGTGCCCGTTTTTTGCTTTTATTCTTTGTTCCGCAAAGTGCGCTCTTTTAGTTTGTAGTGATATATATAGGTTGTCCTATTCATTAAATGGGATTCACAGAGCTTGCCAGCTCCTTTCCTTTCCTCTTTCCAAAGAAAATAAGAGAGCGACTACCTGACTTTCAGGATATCCTTTGAAATAGGAGTCATACAGAGAACAAGAATGAGGTGGGCCCTCCTTCTTAAGGATGGCATGCACAAATCGAATGAAAAAAAAAAAAGCTCCATCCTTTTTGTTTTCTGTGAAAAGGCATACAACCTTTAACCAATGTTCATGTTGTTATCGAATGTTTGATAGGGTCTGAAGACTCTTGGACTCGATCTCGTGACTTCACAAATCAACGCCTACGGGAAGGTGACAGGTTCTTCAACAACCGGGCCTTCATCATCCGTCCCCATCATGGCAACAGAGCGGATGGAAAGCAAGCACCCCGAAAAACACAGCCTTTTTTTTTTTTTTTTTGGAAAGCTAAGTTTTATTCTTCTCTCAATTTCATCCATCACTACCTAGTCCCTACCTATCACTAGTACTCATCCCATACAAGGGACCCCTGCAAGCATAGCTACTGTCACAATCAAGGGGACGGTAGCAGTGTGAGCACTCCCCTGACTTGCTGAGAGCCACTCACCATTTGCTGCAATGCCTCAGGGACAGCACCGACATTTCGCCGCCTCAGCCCTTCGTCCACTGTCTGTTGCACGACATTTCCTTGAAGCGAGCCACCGCTTCCACCACCTTTGTCCTCCCCTGTCGCCATGACCTCCCACCTTTTATTTCGCGGATCCACTACCCTGCACCCACAGACACCGCCTCCCTGTCCACACACACACAGGAAAACCGACGGTTTCGATTTGCTCACTCAATATCCATCCCATGCTTTACAGCCACATCTTCAATACATCGAACTCAAGTCCTCTTACAAAACTTCAACCTCAGAGGTAACACCACAACGCAGCCTTGTGGACGAACGGCTCATGCGTGTAACTGCTGACGATAAACAGAACATGCGGTCAAAGCTCAAACACTAACGAACAACAGCTGACAAACTGATCACGAGTTCGAATCTTGATGGATACAACGAGGTTAGGGGCTCCGACCCTTAATGGGGAAAAATAAAAAAAAAACAAAAATAAAAATAAAGTGAAAATTGAAAAAAGGAGCCAGAAAAGTCAATCCTTTATGATAACAGAGCAATCAATGCTGACCAGGGACCTTTCAAGCAGACGCCTTTTTGAAACTAAAAGTTGGCCGATGGAAGCAGGCGCGTGTCCGTTACCTGATATAACTTTATGACTTGCCGGTGGGATAAGGACAGGACTGATGCTCCCCAGAATGGAGAAGGAGCCAGGACCATAAGTTTCTGTCATTTTTTTTAACAAAATTTGAAAAAAAAAAAAAAAAAAAAACGGAGCCAGCAGGAACAGAAGGATCAAGAAATAGCAGTTGAAGCAGGTATGCTACAGTAAAAGTCCAAAACACAGACACTTACCTACTTTCCCAGGTAAACTTGAGAAAAAAAAAAAAAAAAAAAAAAAAGTCACTAAGCCGAAGCATGAGCAGTTTCTGTCAGGCGTGAGCGACTGTCGGTAAGCAAGAGTACTCGAGAGTAGATGGTACTTTTAGGCAGTGGGTGGTCAAGCTATTAAGCCGAGTGTTGCCTAAGCAGCACGGATAGTAGGATGGTAGGGCGATGAATGTGGTCTTGCCTTGCATCGTTGTTCATTGCCACAAGCACTGAGAAGTACACCTGCTGGCACAACGACTCTGTGTTTGTGCATCAACGAAGTACAAGTGTTGGCGCAACGACTCTGTGTTTCTGCATCAGCCCTTCAGTCCTTCACCGAATAGCTCTCTTGTGTGTTTTAAGTCTAGACTCCTCTAGAGGGTCCGGAGCTTACAGTCATGGACATCAATCACCCTGGCTGAGTCGTTATCATCACTCGGCCCCTGAGAAGAGGGGGACCTGAGGGAGGGGGGAGGGGAGAAAGTAGAGGATGTGTTCTGCAAAGCGATATTTTCTAAAAGGGGGAGGGAGGGGGGTCAACCATTTCCTGCTAATTAGCCTGGCCTCTTGGATTTCAAGAGGATGAGGAGGGTTGGTAATGAGGAGGTACTAGGGCTTTCAAAGGTACCTACCTACCACAGGAGGGTAAGCAGCCCGGGACTGCACCCCTTGGTGACGAGTCGTATGTCTGGGCTGAGGGGGTGGACAGATTGGTTGGGTGGGGCGAACAGAGGGGTGTTGAGGTTTTCCCCAGTTTATTACATTCGCAAATAAAATGCTTGGTGAGTTTATCAAGAGGAAGTGAGGGGTAAAAACTTTAAAAGTGAACAGGGTGGTAGATGGGCCTTGGAATGCGTTAAACCACCAGTACACCAAAAAAAAAAAACACCACCAGTACACCCGCGCCTTGAGGCGTCAACAACCTGTGTGGTTGAGTGTGTGCGTGACTGGGTACAGCGTTTGCATTGACTACCTGTGTGGCCAGGTCTGAGTCTGACTGGGTACCCTGGGCCCAGCAGAGAAATTTTCCATGCTGGGGTGGGGTGAAGTGCTCATCTTGGGGGCTTCGCTTTCACACCATTCAGCTCTTAGCCCTTCGGTTGAGCGTCCAACCCCGCCAAGTGGTAGGTCGCGTGTCCGGTTCCCCGCACCCCTTGTGGATGCAATTCTTGCTGGCGTAGCAACCTGCAAAGCGATTGTTACATTGTTTGGTGGCAGCCTCGACGCCCTGTGTGGTCAGGTTTGAGTGCGACTGGGTCCACCAGGGCGCAGAGAAATCCGTTCTGGGGCGGGGTGAAGTGCTCATCTTGAAGCTTCATGTTCACCCCAGTCAGCTTAGCGGTTTGATTGCGCGTCACACTCCTCTAAGTGGGAGGCCATGTGTCGACCTGTGTGGTCGGGTGCAAGTTTGACTGGGTACACCGTGCCGTGGAGATCTTGGGGCTTCACTTTCACCTCAGTTCGCTTCGTGGCTCAATTGAGCGTCCAGCTCCTAAGTTGGAGGTGGCGTGTTCGATGCTTCCCATCAGCTCCTCGATGCAATTCTTCTTCTTCCTTCTTTTGCTAAAGACCTCCCCCCAACTTCATTACCGGCCCAGTGCTCAAGGCAACAAGGGTGGTCCTTGCACCGGCCAGAGTACAACCTGGCCGGCGGAGGGACATCTTTATTGATATGTTTTCTAAGGCAAAAGCACAAAGGTAAACCGTCTACCATTCAGCCACATGCACTGCGTATGTGGAACACAGAGAGTCACCACGAGTCTGAAAAAAAGAAGGAGAAAAAACGGAACATGTAACGTTACCATGGTAACACGGCAAGCAAATGTGAAGAGAAATCTTTTTTTTTTTTTTTTTTCTTGCGCAGGGGCCATGCTAATCTTCTCTGTGTCGTTCCAATTTTAACGGATGTCCCAAAGGACATGTGAAGCACAATCTTGAAATAAAGCTTTCATGAAAATAAAACAATAATAGCCCGAAAGATAACCGTAGTGAAGCTATGGTTTCCGCATTCTCCCTCACCACCCACTCTACGTGAAGTCCCCAAGAGTGAAGGAGGCCACTGGCAGATCCCAACCTTAGTTTCAGCCGCCCCCAGACGGGACCTCATCAGGGGGCCTCATCAGGGGGATTCCGAGATGTCCATAGGGTCCTAATAGTATCATCCCTGTACTCTGTTGTCTACTCTTCGGCCCGCATCCGGTTCCAGGTTCCATTGTTCCATAGTGGTCTGTACCCGACATTGACGCGTCAAAGTCCGGTCCTAGTTCCCATAGTTCTAGGTCCTTCTGACTCAGACGGGATGTCCCGTGGATCACTCGAGTAACTCCACCCCTTTTTGTGAAAACATCGTGCCAGAACACAGGCACTTCCTGTCCCTACGAAATTGTCCGCTTCGGGTCTCTGGCTTTGTATGGGTCCGTGAAACCGGGTCTGTTCAGTCGACAGTAACCCCGCCAATTCCTAAGAAATTCCCCACCCCTGCTCCCCAATACCATGCTTATTACCCAATGTACCGGCCTGGGAAACCAGGTCTGTACTGTCGGCAATATCCCAGCCAATGCCGCAAAACCCTCCCCGTTGTCTTTGATATCCAGGCCAGTTTTACTCCATACCCCTCCCCCCGTTTCCTTCCGTTTTTATTCCAACCCATTGGTCTCAATGCACCATTCCAGGAAGAGAGGGAGTATTCTAGTCTAAAGTCTAAAAAGTCTAAAGTCTAGTCGCACGAGAATAGACTTTACACCTCCTCATTTTCCTCTACTACGAAAATTGGCAGAACAGTCAGTGATCACGAGTGCGATTCACCATAGACGATACATGACGTCGTCGGACGACCTTGTCCGGCTCGGTCTGCTTACCCTGAAAAGGCAACTGCATGTACAAAGGTACCCAGCCCATCTGTTCAACGGGTCTGTCCATGGAGGTTCGCAAGGATGCACACCCCCTCATGGGAGATTACAAACCCTGTTCTGGTCCACAAATACAGGGTCTCGCCACAGGGCACACGAAACGAAAACGAAACGAGTGCATCTTCCCACCAAAGGTGGCAAAATGCACTCGCTACTATTTATAGCAAACCGATGAACCTGGCCATTTTCTGGGGGACGATACATTCGTTTCGTTTTTCGTTTCGTGTGCCGTGCGGCAACGCCCACAGTCCCGCCCACAGTCATGACGCCGTGGGGGCATTGTGTTCGGGGGAAGAAACTAGTCTAACCGCCTAGTGCACACTTCAGATTTATTTATTTATTTATTTATTTATTTATTTATTTATTTTTTACGGTGTAGCTCGACCACACTCTGACCGTGTAAGCCTTTTCCACAACTAGATTTTCTGAGCCCTTTGCTTTTTCTTCCCTCCATTTCTTTAAACGCAAAGCTTCATTCTATCCGACCGTTGTTTCTTCTGGCCTTGCTGCCCCGTTCTTTTTTTTTTCTTTTTTTTTTCTCAAATCTTTTAACAAAGAAAAAGGGCGCCGGCCTTGTGGTATCATTTTTTTTTTCCTCTAAAAACTTGGACTATTTCTCGATTTATGCAATTTATGCATGTCATCCTTGCACAGGGGCCATGCTAATCTTCTCTGTATCGTTCCAATCCTTTTAACGGATGTCCCGAAGGACGAACTGGTTTTCATTGACGAGGCTACGGACGAAATAACTTTTGGAGGTCTTTTGAGAGAGGATGCTCAAAGTCTCGACTTTGTTGGACTATGGGCCGCGCCTCCACTACATAACACTCTGCATGCATTCGGACGCCTTCTGGACCAGGTGCATTCCGACGAGTCTCTCCTCCACAACATTACACTCTGCATGCATTCGGACGCCTTTTGGACCAGGTACATTCCAACCAGTCCAACATTTTGAATGTATCAGGTCCAGAAACCTTCCAAATGCACGTACTAGAGTGTTAGGCAGTTTTTTTTATGTATTCATAAATTCAGTGTGAGTGGGTTTTACTATTTTTTTGGAGGGAGGGAGGGTTGGGGGAAGGCATTCATTAGTTTTGAAAAAACATTATAGGACGTTGTTTGATCTAGGACATTTTTTTGACTCTTTTTTTTTTCCGAAAATGATGAAAATCTTCTTCCCACAAAAAATCAACATTGTTTTACTTTTCCACACGTAGGTGTCTCAACATAGCCCGGCTGCCATAGCCTGGCTATGGCCTTGTGACTCAGGGCGGCTTCATTTTGTTGTATTAATGATTGAGGACGGTCTAATGAAGCCTGGCTAATGTATTCATTAGGCAGCTTCACTTTTTTTTTTTTTGGGGGGGGGGGGGAGGCA